CATCTATTAAGAAAAAGGACAGAACAGATTTTGGTGGATAGCTAGTGGCTCTGCCAAAGGCAGTTTTGTTGTATATTGGTTTAATTTCATACTGGAAAATTTTATGCATTGATTTCATTTTTAAAGAATTATATCTTTAAAGGTATCACAGGCATTTGTCATATGGGCACACCTCTGGTTAGTAGCAGATCCAGAATGGAAATCAGATTTTCAGGTTCCCATGCCAAAGCTCTTTCCAATAAATGAAAGACTGCCTTTACTTTTTCGAAGGGTTAGGAAGTATGAGCTTTTTTTTTTTTTGAGATAGTGTCTTGCTGTGTTGCCCAGGCTGGAGTGCTGGCTGTTCACAGATATGATCCCATTACTGATCAGGAGGGGAGTTTGCAACTGCTCCATTTCGGACCTGGGTGTGTGTTTCCCTCTTTATCCCTCCTTAGGCAGCTTGGAGGTTCCTGCTCTGGGGAGGTCACCATACTGATGCCGAACTTAGTGTGGATACCCAATTGGCACAGTGCACGAATACTTGGGCTCATGTGATCCTCCAGCTTGGCTTCCCACGTAACTGGGACTACAGGCACACATCACGTCACCTGGCTGAGCTTTTTTTTTTTCCTTTACTGAAGATAAGTCTATGGGAAATATCTCTATCTGATGAGATGTTGAAACCTTTTTGAGAAACAGAGAGAGTTATTTCTGTAAAGTACAGAGTATGGGGTTAATTTAATTTGAGAAAATGGTTGTCTAGCCAGTTGGTGGAAACAGCCTGCAGAATGTAGACCATATTGCTGGTGTAATTATTTTAGATGCTAACAAATGAAAGAACATTTTGATAACTCTAAGAACCAGATTTTAGTTGTTAATGATGGGACATCATTCCCTGAATTCCACATTCACTGGATGGGCTTCCATTAATATATTCCTTTCTTATTCTTCAGATGCTTTACCAGCCACAACTGAATAGAGAAAAGTGTTGACCACTTATTTATTGAATTTGTGTAGGTAATTTGGATGACTTAGGTTTTCAAATACTGTTTTTCAGTACGCATATATAGTTATTTTCTTTTTGCTTAAATTAGCCAGATAAATACTAAATTCTCTGTTTCAATTTGCTATTCTAGTCAGAGCTAAAGAAGTGAGATTCATAATAGTGTAGAAACTCCATGTTATTTCATCCACCTTTTCTCTGTATCCAGAACATGGAGAATACACATAACTTACAATTCCTTTAAAAGCTGTATTGCCATAAATTTATATCTTCTTTCTGAAGATGCATCTCATATTTGGCTCTGTAAAACATTTCTTCAGACCTCTACATGTTTTTATTAATGCTTCAAGACTACGTCTTTAATTATTCTAAGGGATCATAGATTGTTTTTACTTGAGCCCATCATCCTTGCAATGTTTGGATAATAGATTTTATCATACTGGATTGCAGAAGGCAATCACTCTCCTGAAAATGAGAGTCTGCATCCACCTAACTGATATTTCCTCTTTTCTCTACAGCTTTTAAATTGAAGAGGAATTCCTGAAGCAAGGGCTGTTGTAATATCAGCTGCCTGTTGGGAAGACTGGTGGAGGACATGTGTCATTAGTGTCACCTTGGCTAGGCGATGCATATTGTTCATTATGCGTTGATAGAGTTTGGATGTGTTGTCCCCGCCAAAACTAATGTGGAAATCTGATCCCCAATGTGGCAGTGTTGGGAGCTGTTTGAGTCATGATGGTGGATCCCTCATGAATGGATTAATGCTCTCCCTGGGGGACCCTGGGTGAGATCTCACTCTGTTAGTTCTCGCAAGAGCTGGTTGTTTAAAACACCCTGGAACCTCCTCTCTCTCTCTCTTGCTTCCTCTCGCCATGTGGTCTGCTTGTATCCGCTGGCTGCCTGCCACTTATCACCATGAGTAGAAGTAGCTTGAGGCCCACACCAGGTGCAGCTGTCCCAGAATTGTTAGCCAAATAAACCTCTGTTCCTTATAAATTACCCAGTCTCAGGTATTCTGTTATAACAGCACAAAACGGAGTAATACATGTGTGGAGATAATTATGCCCCACAAGGACAATGAGCAGGAAAGAGCGGTCTTCTCAAATCTACTCTGCTCAGACAACTCTACAGAACAGTTATGTTCACAGGAAGACTTCCTATTATAGGTTTATTGACTTGTAGGTGAAAGAAATGAGGCCATAGTATTGTTATTAATAATAACAAAAAAAATTTTTAAATGCACACCTTCTGATTAGTTGCCAGGATAAATGATTAATATCATAGGAGATTACTAATTTTTAATAAAAAACCTTTGTGATATTGGTGAATGAAATTTAAAGATTAGTATTATGGTTTAGTAAGTAATGCATTTCTTTAATCTGGATCTTCATGTCATTATGGGGTATCATTGTTTGAATATGATGGTCCTAAAAACCAAGATATTGAAATAAATTGGATTTAGAACTCAAATATTCAAAGTTGTAGTTTTAGGTAAAAGTCATCTTTAAATATAAATGATACATTGTACTGGACAGAAACCTGAAAAAAAGTCTCTGATTGGCAAATATTACCCTTTGTTAGTTACATATTCTGTGCCAAGTCACTAAGCAAGCAGTGGAGGAACAAAACCATTTGGAGAAATCTGGCTGAATTATCACTGGGTAATTTGAGCTGGCTTACTTTCCACTAGTAGCACAGATATAAGTTTCATGATGTACAGAAACATCTAAATGGTTAAATGTGCAAAAGAAATCTGTGAAAGATTATAAAATTAGCATGTCTCAGTTGAAGCAATTAAAGCCCTTAAAATTGCGTCTGTATATGAAGTTGTTCAGAAAGTGCCAATGATTTAAAAGAATTCTTTTGGAATGAACGTGTTTAATGAAATTCACTTTTGGAATATTAAATTTATGAAATCATTCCTAAGGATTTGGTATCGGAGACAAGAGAAAAAACTTCAGACTTATATATCCAACTGCCTACTCTCCATTTGCAATTAAAAGTCACAAAGATAGCCTGCTGAATCATGGTTTCCCCCAGATTGGGTTATCTTTCAGTGTTTCCTATTGCATGAAATGGCTGGTTTTAAATCTATGATGAGAAGTGTGAGGGGGCCATTGACTGAAACTGGAGAGGCAGATGAGGAAGGTATGGATATGTGTGGGAAATGTGCATTAATTTTAGCCATGTTGAGTGAAGTTGGATCAAGCTGGTAGAAATACTTTGTGGACAGTTGGAATTAAGAGTCTGGGGAGATGGATTTGGGTTGGGGACGTGGACTTGAGAGTCAGCTATATAGAGGAGATGAAGTTAAGAGACGCATGAGGATTTGAGAGGGAAACAAAAATGGTTAGGAGGGAAAGGAGCCAGAGAAGTATTGTGTATCACAAAATCAAAGGGAGTTTAATAAGAAAAAAGCAGTGTCAAGAATCTCAGAGGATGAAGAATGAGATGAAGCCACTGGACTCGATGACCTCGAAGAATTTCAGAAATAAGGTGAGATTAGAAGCCATGTTATAAGAGGCAGTGTATGAGAAGGCGTGTATGTGGGTGTGTGCACATAAGAGGCAGTGTATGAGAAGGCGTGTGTGTGTTCTAGTCCTCACTTTACCTCTACCCTGTTACTTATCCTTGTGCAAGTTGCTAATGTCACTGGATCTCAGCATTCTCATCTTTAACATAAGAGGATTCCATAGATATATCACCTAGATTCTAAGAAGTTGGAGTAGACATTTTCAATGAATGAAAGAATAAATGAATAGGGCCGACCCTGTGGCTCACTCAGGAGAGTGCGGTGCTGGGAGCACAGCAGCGCTCCCATAGCGGGTTCGGATCCTATATAGGGATGGCCAGTGCGCTCACTGGCTGAGCGTGGTGCAGGCGACACCAAGCCAAGGGTTGCGATCCCTTTACCGGTCACAAAAAAGAAAAAAAAAAAGAATAAATGAATAAAACTGTATGTATTTTCTATCAGTTCCATAGATAAGAAGTGCTGAGCATTTATTCGCTGCAAGACATCTTGCTGTGAAAGGAAGACTTTCAGTAATAGATTATGTAAGGGGACGGTATTACCACGGAAAGGATTTTCAAGACAACAAAGGCCGATCTCTTTTGCATTACCATTTTTATCCTGTAAATACTACAAAGTAAAGAGATATGGGAGGCCCTGCACTTAATTTTCTGACACTGATTTTCATTCTTACTCTTTGTGAATGTGTGTGACATGCAATTCTGCTAAGTGTAGATGTCTTAACCCTTTTACAGTATTTATTAGGTCATAGCATAGGTAACATTGGAATTCAACATGATGCAAGAAAAAAAGCATGTTGGAAATGCAGCATTGTCTTTGGTAATTGTTTATACATTGTCAAAGTTTTTTCAACAAATTCAACCTACTCTTAAGTCACTTAAGTAGGTGACTTAAGGCATCCTGGGCTGGTAAAATAATTGTTTGAATCTCAAGTCCAGATTTTCAAGATATGTGGTGAAGCATTTTGAAAAGCTGATGTCATCTCCAAGACCAGCTAACACACTCTAAGAATTTAGTTGACTTATTTCTCAACATAAAATTATTGCTGTACAATGGGCATGTAATATGTCCTTTTTAAAGTCTTTTCTTCCCACTTAATTTTTTTCTTCCAGAAGTTTATTTATAAATTTATTCTAAGTTATTTATATTTATGTTATACATTTGTAATATATAGTATATATAGTATTACATTTATAAACTCATTTATTTTCTGTGATATTTACATTAACAAAGATCTATGAAGGGGATTTTTCTCATTGAAGAGGCCTTGATTTATAAAACTGGATTCTAGAATTTTTTGACTATCATTCCAAGTGAAAATGGCTTTATTTGATATCTGTGCTGAAGAAGAAGCCATTCTTCAGGGAAGCTGATGGCATGCTGGATAATTTCTTTAATTCACCCAGAAGGACTCAGCTATCTTTCCTAAATCATATATATATGAGCAGGAAGCAAAGTGCAAAAAAATAATTTTAACAACCAGAATTCATCACAGTATTTAAACAATTAGATTTTACTTTATTTCAGAGTAAGTTTACAGTTGAAAAATGACATTTACTAAAGCCACAACATTATTCATATGGACAAAACTTTTATAGCAAAACCTTGGTACATGAGCATTAGTAATCTGAATACCATCTGGATATAGAAGATATTTTAAAAACGGAAATAATATATATTCCAAAGGCTGTAAGAGGCACAATATATATGCTTGTATTGGGTCTGCAAGCATTATACTATAATTCATTAAATGCAATCCAAGAAGTTGCAGATTTTTCAGCACTACATACTGAAAAGATACAAAGGAATATCATAGTGGCTCTTATGTTGAAAAGCATGTAATGTCAAGACTACAAAATAGGAGCAGCAAGCCAAACCAACAAACGATTCCTTAGGTTTTGGAAGAAGTAATACATCTATGGCTTTTTCATGTCATTTTTGAGACTGGTTAGCAAGTCCGGCAAGTGGAAAAGAAGTTAGTCTATGCTAAGACATTAAAGACATCATTTACAAGGCATCTGATATTTAACAGGTTCAGAACCGGAAAATGAAAATTGAACTGATAAAGAGCAAACTTACGAGGTATTATGTAGCAGAAAAACCGCTTCCTCCCACCAAGCCTAAAAATCTCTATGCAGAAAAAAGTAAGTTTTCAATTGACAGGGTGGAAAAATGTTTAAGATAAATAGTTAAAATTTTCTTTTCATTTTTAGTAGCAGTAAAGAATGTAGGTCTTCCAAGGACCAAGAAACTGAATTTGGTCCTTAATATGGAATTTTCTTATGTTTTTAAAAAATGTGGGTTGAAATGCATTCTCATGGATAAAAGATGAACATGTGGTAAAAATAAGAAAAAAAAATGATACATTTTTCAGGGCACACTAGTACTACAACATCTTGGAATTTTCTAAAAGGTGAAATGTACATCTTAGATTCTCATGTTGTATTTCAACTAGCAATTAAACATAAATGCAAAAGTGAATCATGCATTATTTTTACCCATCAGTAACTGTGTTAATGATAGCAGGGGAACAGAATTTGTTTTTCTTTTTCCCTTTAAATCTGTAATGCTCACGAGTCATCATGTGGAACTAAAATCACACACAAAAGCAAATAATGAAATGTACATATCACAAAATGCCCACGAAGGCTGCCAGAAACAATGCTGCTTCTATAGAACAGAATTGTTGGAGGCCAAATCTAAAGCAGTAGGTGCTACTGCAACTTCTAGCTCTTTAATGCTGCTTTTTGTTTTGTGTTGCTTATTTGTTTGATATGCGGTTTCAGGTGAGGGGGTTCGGTCTCTCTGGAAGTTAACCCATGATTTCTGCAGGTTCAGTGACCAACTTAGATCCGTCCCATGCTGTCTTGAACTGTTCAGGAACAGGAAATTCTCTCTGGAAAAAAGGCAAGAGGAACAAAGTTGTTTAAGGGTTCATTTTGCAAACAGATGGAAGGCTGATTAGTGCCACGTGATGGGCAAAGAAATTTGATGGAGCCCAAATCTGCAGCATGGAGAGGTCTTTGTTTCATGGAGACTCACATATGTCAGTTGTCAGTTCTGTGACTGCATGCCAGTATTGTCACTAAAGCTAGCATTTTCTAAGAACCAGGCATTCTGCTAAGCACTGGACATATACGAACTGAGTGGATCTATAACAATGCTATGAGTGAGGTGTTATTGAGGTGACATCTATAGGACACAGCGGCCTAAGAGGTGAAACTGGCCCAGGATGATACTGCTAGTAAGCATGGCAGCCAGAATTCAAACCTAGGCAGTCTCTCTTACCCACTGCTCTCCACCAAATTTTAACACACAAATGAATCAACCAGGGATGTTAAAATGCAGATTATGATTCGGTAGGTATGGGAAAGGATGAGCATCTGCATTTCTGACAAGCTCCCGGGTGTTCCCAGTCACACAGGGTAGAAAGGCTTTATCCTAGAGTTACCTGCTTACTCTGATGAATTATAAAAATGTGCTTAGGGTTGTATATAAATTTGCAAGCCTCACCCACCACCCTACTCTTCCCACTGCAAAACATACACAAACACCCTCCTCCCAGATGTATATACCCCACCCCCCAACACACACTCAAAGGAAAATATAGAATAGACAAAATAAAAGTAGTCTGGAGTCTCTCCTTCCCCAGAGAGTGATTCTCCAGTTCCTTCAGAAGAGGACTGAAGAGGAAGGCCAGGAACAGTCCCATTGGCCCCAGCTTCTGGGGCCTCCCTGGACTTACTGTCCACACAGTGCTTGTTGAAACCCTCCACGTCTGATAAGCCGGTGCCTATGCTCATGAGAGGGAGGTGTCAGTGGAACACACACATATGAGTGCCTGTCCTCCTAGATGTAGGAAAGGCCCTTGCCAGAATGAGCAATGAATTCTCCTTGAGTGAAATCTGCAATGGACAAATCTTAAAATGAAGTAAAGAAACCACAATCTTAATAACCCAGTGTGTGTGTGTAGCCAGCATCCCTTCTGGGGCTCTTCTTGATGCATTAACTAGGCTTGGTATTTGTTCTTAAGAAGTACCAGGCCAAGTAGAGAATGCTCCTGAGCAAAGGCACCTCTTTGATAGCAACTGCACTACGGCTGTCCCAAATCTTTTTTTGGCAGTGAGGTGATAGTAATATGATAATGGGTCTTCTCTGGGACACATATCTTTCAGGATGAATTATCCCCACTATCCAGTCCCACTTTATAATGCCATGGCAGGGCCTCAGTATCATTCTCTGCCACCCCCAACTGAAAGCACATGAAGAGGGCCTGAGGTAACTCACCTATACAGGTAAGACGTCACTTGTTCAAAGTAAGAGCTCAGGTTTTGACCTATACTCATCCTTTCAGCCAGTGGTTCTCTATCTAGGCTCCATTGGACTCACCTGGGAAGTTTTAAAAAACTCCAGATGCCTGGGTTCCACGCACAGAGATTCCAGCTTCATTAGTCTGGAACTCATCCGAACTCCATTGCTTTTCTTAACAGACCCAGTCCGCATGCATATCAGCCTTCTGCTTAAACAGCTGCAAAGGGCAGGGATCGCCCCAAATTTTGGCTCTTCTGCTCTGAAGTTGTTCTGCATTGGCTTTATCTCTTCAGTAGTTTTTTCAGGTGGAGAACCCAAAATGGGACTCTTCTCTAGCTCAGGGTTAGACTGTCCATGCACTCAGTAGTGAAGCATGGCCCAATGCTTGCAGAGTTTTGTTTTTGAAATTGAAATGATGATTCTAGGCTGCAATATGTGGTATGTGGCTGGGTAGAGCTGAACAAATTAGTGACAGGTGGGGGAAAGAAGAACATGGCCGCAGTCATGGTGCCAGCTTCAGGAGGTCAACCTGAACATTGACTACTGTGTAGATGGCCAGCAATTGACCCCTCAGGCTGATGGGGACCCCCTCTTCCAAAGGTGTGCCTGCTAAATTACATTTTCTTTCATCCTTCCCTGGTTTACTGTTCCCTTGCCCAGTTAGACTCAGAGGGAATTATTTCTGTACTTATTTCCCTACTTATTCTGCAACAAGGAGCAGATCCACCTGTCTCCATAATCCAGAAAATGTATTTATTTATTTAGACCTCTTTCAATGTGTGAGAATATCTGCCTGCTTCTTCTAGAAGCTGCTTTGTTGGGGAGAAGTAGCAAAGAAAACAGATGGGGGAAAAATCACTTATGCTAGGGTTTCTCAGAAGGGCTGCTGGGTGGATTGATGGTATTAGAATCACCTGGGATGCCTGTTAAAATTCCAGGTTCTTGGGCCCCACTCCAACCCTCCTGAATCCAGCTGGTACAGGGTTTGGGAGTTGGCCTCTTCATCAAGCATCCCTGCTGATTCTTATGCTATGTTTGAGAACCCCTGACTTAAGTATACCTACACAGATAGTCTACTCATTATCCCTTCCTCTCCCATCCATTTTTTCCCCCCAAAGCATTTCTCCCTCTTTCCTGTTTGCCTCCACCAGAGCACAGGAAAACATTTAGTCTTATATAATACGAACTCAGGGGTGCGCTGTGCTGTTTGATAAAAGCTAGCCCATTAAAGTAATTATTAGTAAACTGCCTTGGGAGTCAGAAATCCAGGAGTGAGCGTAGTCGAGAAGCTAATAGCAGAGAGAGATGTGGAAGGCAGCTTCCTGAATTCCTCTCCTGCCTATGAACTATTCCACAAATAAAGCTCATAGGCAGGTAGTTGATTAATCAATCGCTAAGAATGTTAATCATTATTAAGGCTCCAAAAAAATTCTTGACAGCCTTTTGAAAGGTACTTACATAATCATCATCCTGTGGGATAAGTATATTCATTTCAGAGGACTTGGCACTCACAATCTCACAGTCTAAGGCGTCTTTACTGAGGTATATGTGGCAACCTTCTGTCTTATTAATGGAAATTGTTGGCACTCTCCCCATTACCTGAAATAGGAAAAAAAAAAAAATCTGGGACCAAAGCAAAGAAATAGAAATCACAATGCCCCCAAATAAGTACAATTTAGATTCATCTCGGCTTTAGCTTGGGCTTAACCAAGTGTCAGGAATCGCTGTGTTGGAGCTGGGAAGGCTGGTTAATGGCAAGTTTCCAGGCTATTGAATAGGGCAGGTATCATTTGGGGACAGAATGAAAGGACCACACAAGGGGATTCTCAAACCTCAGGGTCTCTTTCCTGAGACAAAATTAAGGGATTAATTTGGAAACAGTAGCTAAATGTCCAGAAAAAACCTTACAACTCTGTTAGTGGATTTGAAAACATATATTTGATTTCTTGATAAAATAAGATACATTTGCTTTTATTTGCTTCAAACATTAGTTTTAACAAATCTCTAGGAAACACAGAATAAAAAGAGTAGTCATACCATCATTTACAGGTAAAATTATTCTTGAGAAAAAAATCGAGTATATTTTTCCTGAGCTTAAATAAGAATAAATAAGAAACACTACAGTTCTTTTCACATGAGTCCTTTGCTGGATAAAAATCTCACTGGCTGAATGCAGAGCCTCAATGAGATACGTGGTTAGGAATTTTAAAACGTATTCATTTCAAGAGCCAGAACTGGGGTTCAGGATGCTTATTATATAGTAGACAGGACCCTACACAGGAGGAGGTAGTTCTTTGTACTGTTTACAAATATCTAAGTGCTATAAAAATTCTGACTAGTTTCAAATTTCTATTCTAACAGTCAGTTTTCAGACATTCTCCCTAAAATCTCCATCGGAGCAGACTATTCCCCCAAAGACCACATTACAACTCTATAATTTTCCTTCTTGTAATGGTAATTAAAGTGATAAAGACATCTCCTCTTTCACCCTGAAGAAAAGGCTGGACTGCAGACCAAAGGAGCAACTTCTGTTGATGGTGCAGGTGATGTAAAGCATTCCTTGGGGGGAGTCTAGCCAGGTCCCCATACTTCTCTGTTTTCTCCTCTCTCCATAGAAACTGGACACTGAGCTGGAATTGAGCCCCCGTGCAAAAAAATTTAAAAAAAGGCAGAGGTAGTTTAAGGTCAGATAAGTACAGGGCTCTGCCACAAATAAAATAATCATAATACATATATCTATATTTCAAGAGTGTGTCAGCAGGAATGTTTTTGTCATTTCTAGATTTGCTTATTTTGTAATGATGAAGAGCATTTGCATACTGATCAGAGCTGTATGAATCCCAGGCTAGTAAGGGGCCAGGGGGAAATTATCAGTGAGTCTTAGGTGATTCGTTTATGAGGCAGAACAGGGACATGTGAGGCAAGCACATTATGCTAATATATTTTATTTATATTTATATGAGCATATTGCTATATTATGGTTGTTTTTTTTTTTTTTTAAAAGATGACCGGTAAGGGGATCTTAACCCTTGACTTGGTGTTGTCAGCACCACGCTCAGCCAGTGAGCGAACCGGCCGTCCCTATATAGGGATCCGATCCCGCGGCCTTGGTGTTATCAGCACCACACTCTCCGAGTGAGCCACAGGCCGGCCCTTGCTATATTATGTTAAAATGCTGACTCACCCTATGTATCTGAAAAGGCAGTAGCAGAAATTTCAAAATAGCCCTGATTGTAATTGTAATTTCCACAGCATTTTGGTCAATAGTGCGTTCCAGTACATCACATACATGTCTTTCTTCCCTTGTAGTGTGTGAACACTTGAAGAACAGAGATGGTTTCTTATCAGGAGAGCTGGACCAAAGAGCCTCTCCTTTGCTGAGTGACAACTGCTATGTGACTGTGCCCAGGCCAGTGCTCTAGCACTTAATACATGTTTCTGTATTAATATTATTTTTCATGAATTTACTTATATTTCTCCATAAAAATTTACAAAAGTGTAATCAAAGACAGAAGTTATAGTTGGCCAAAGATAAGAAGTCCTTTAGATTTTGGTGTATTGTAAAATCCCGTTTGGCTAAATCAAAATTACTAAAGGAGTACAGATTTTCTTCTGTTTTGCAGATTCAATTCCAATCCTACTTTCCAGGTTTTCTGATTATCTCACTGATTCTTTAGAACAACTTTTGCTCCTCCTAACCCTCCTGGGGAAAGAAAGATTCTCTTTGGGATGATGCTATTATGTTAGGAGAATCTCTTCGTGTTTTTATTTCTGCATTAGTTGATTCATTGCAGTAACACACTCATCAAACATTTATTGAACGCCTACTATGTGTAGGTACTGTGCAAGTTTCTGGGGCTGTGAAGATTAGCTAGCTGTCCTTGAAATAGAGAGGATGAACCAGCAACTGCAGCACAAATGAGTTTGCGGGATGAGTTGTAAGAGACTGAAAAAA